TGAGCTCAGTTGTGGCCTGAAAAATGGATGGGAACACATACGCCGTACCACACAGGCCAGGGTGCCACCAGATGAGGGGAAGAGCGCAGATGTCTCTAAGGTCCTCCGCAGGGTCAATCCTGGGCAAAAGCGAAGGGAGCTAAAGCCACCCCCCCCCCAGCAAGCACAAGCTATGCCATCACCAAGGGAAAGGAGAAGATTGCTTATTGCTAGAAGAGACATCTTGACAGAGCACATACTGTAGAGGCTGGAAGGGAATGGAAAAACAAATCTACAGAGCCCAGGCTAGTTGTCACTGAGGAAAAAGACCTAAAAAACCCACCTGTTTGTTAACAGCATCACAGCCAAACGACTATATATAGACAGAAATTGTGCAAGCGTAAGGCAGGGCTTAAATTCAGCTCTCAGTCACTCAGCGCTGCGCAGGAATGTTTTAAGAGGACCAGTGACTAATCTCACAAGTCTGAGCTACAGGCTTGCTTCCAAGCTGCAAGAGCCTTAAAGACTGATTTCTGTCCATTTATACTTTTGTGACTTTTTACCCAGCACTTTTACTGCAGAGTGAGGGCTTGGACAAAATCTGCATCATTCTTCTGTTCTATTGCATATTCCAACCCTCATGACTGCTCCTCCCAAACTGCAGCAACCAGATGGTCCAGAACTCCCAAGGCTGGAAGGGTGGGAGATGGCAGGCATCTGAGAAATACAGTGGGACCTAACCAAAAATTCTGATAAGCACCTAGACCCTTCTCTTCAAAAGGTTCTGTGCATTACCACTAGCAAATAACCAGTGTCCCACATCACACCCCCAATCTCCAGACAATAATGAGCAACGTGAGAAGATACCAATGCTCTGGAGGATCACAAGACCCGAAGGGATATTTAAGCTAAAGTCGATTCTGAATTTGGTTATACTTATTTCAGAGAAGTGTTATCTGTAAGGTGAGTGTTCAAGCTGACAGTAATCTCGTACGTGATCCTTCTCTAAGGTCTTCAGCTGAAGAGAGACAGCCCAGATGGAGCTGTGGAATGTTCAAAATTAATCTCTGACAACATCTGAGAACCTGGATTAATACTAGAAAAATAACTACAGCTATATAGTTGGGATACAGAAATGCACCATGAATCAGTCCATGGAGATCTGGAGTTATTAATGTTGCTATTAGAAACTGAATTATCAAAGAACTGAAGAGATGTATGCAGCGAGTGCAACAGCAGCATTTGAAAACCACTACAGGACTAACACAGAGTATAGCAAAGACAAAAATTCTTCTAATTTCTTCAGTTCACAACCTTACTGTAAGGAGACGTGTTCCATCTCTATCACTCCGGTGCAAAACTGAACACTGAAGTATTAGAGAAAAGGCCCAAGAATGGTGACATGAACAGTATTACTGAGGATCTGGCACTGAGGTGGGAACTTCCTACAGCATTACAACGGCTACCATACAGTGCTGGCTCCATCACTGGTATAAATTTAATCACCAAAACCAGTATTAGAGACAGAATCCCAGTTTCAAGGTCATGCTAAAAGGCAACAGCAGGAAAACATGTCTTTGCTCCTGAGTTTCAGGCCACAGATCCCGAGACGTCAGAGGAGTCTGGAGCATCCATTGCTACCTCCTCCTAGTACCCTAATGGAAGGGGCACCAAAAATCAGCAAAACTTGAAAAGGCACAGGCAGTTCTGGAGGGGAGGTCTTGGACTCTGCTGATCAGCAGGCTGCAGGCATACTTCTCAGTTCTTCAGAGACTGGGTCGGACAACATTGTAATTGTGCTCAGCCACACCACAGTGAGACAAAGGTGGTATATGGGAATACAGACCTCAGAAGTCCTTAAGTACACGTCACTGCAACCTCAGAATATTGCTCTAAAATCTATCAAAAAGTAAAACATCCAAGAAAGACAAACCATGATTACTGTGTATTGTCCACCTCCAGGAAGAATAATGACATTTGTTATAAGATGCCCACTGATGTTTTGAAACATTGCTGATGGCTGAATGAATATTTAGTGCTAAGTGGTTGTTTTTTGGTGTTTTTCAAATTCAAGTTTTCCATAAAAAGCTACCATACCATAAGCACTTTTTAAAATGAGATATGGCCAAAGCTACATCACCAATCATAAAGGTTTTTCTGTTTTTTTGACAAAGTCTCTGGGAAATTTTTAAGTAATCTCAGCATAAATTTTGGAAAAGCCTTTACCTACCTAAGACTGAACTAATGCAACCTGCTCAGACAGAGTAGCATGGGATTGGGGTCAGACTTGCTCTTGATTTATCCAGAGGTGTTAGAAATGCTGATAATGACTCACAGTACCTGAAATCTCCTACAAAGTATTCAAATCCACATGCTACCAACATAAACTGGTAGAAATACCCTTTGCTGTAACAGTAGCACTACGAAATGGGGTTTTCTAAACCCACAACAAACCACTCTCAGATCCTTCCTAGACAAGGAACAAGGCATTTTATAGCAAAAACCTAAATCTGAATTGGCTCTGCTCTGAGCTGAACCAAGTGACCTGTAGAGCTCCCTTCCTACCCAAATTATTCATAGAATCATAGAATAGTTTGGGTTGGAAGGAACCTTTTAAGGGTCATTTAGTCCAACCCCCCCTGCAATGAGCCAGGACATCTTCAACTGGATCAGGCTGAAGATGATTCTATAAGGTCTTTCCACTGGAGAATTCCCATCTAAGTACAGATCTCGAACACCATCAGAACACCCTGCAGATACTTAGGACAGAAATCCCTCCTCTTATTCCTGCACATGCTGACATCCATCCAAGCTGCAGGCCAGCAAAGATAAAGCAAAGCTTCCAAAGGCAGCCTGCAACACATTCGACCCCTTTTGTCTCTCTACCCCAGTCTTTCGTAAAATCGTACCCCGCCCAGCCCACTGCAGTCACTGACAGAAGGCAGAGTAGGATTACAGAAACATTAAATATATGTATGTATTTTTAATGATTACTCATATCTCATGCCTGAAAGGTCATAGGGCCATTTTCTTGTTCATTGCGCTGTCCTTTTGCAGTCTGAGCCATTGTCTGTTCAAGACCTTGACCGTTTTTTCCAAAACAAGTAAAATTTCCGTTGTTAACTAAATTATAAAGATCCCCTCCATCCAGAATTGTCAACATAATCACATTCTTGCGGGGTAGCAACCATAAAAAAAGCTGAGTGATTATAACTACAGGAAGAACCTAGAGAAATATTAGGTATATCTAAATTGGAAACCTCAAGAAATGCCTGCAAAATGTACACATACTTATCTGCCAGAAGAGCAGATTCCTAATTGACAATACTGAAGAATTCAATTTTCCTTCATCTTCCAAAATAATCTGATTGAATAAATTAGAGTTATAAGAAGGATAACTAGAAAAGCCAAGTCCTCAAGAGGCTTGACTCTGCTAATCTATTTCTGTGAATGGCTGAAATAGTGGGCAAATAGTGGCAAAATTCTCGTAACGATCAGAAAAATGATCATGTAAACTGAGGAGCACAAACTTGTGATTGATTAACAGCACCACTTCTTCAATTCAGGGCAGCTTTGAGCAGTGTGTTCTCATCTTTGCTCAGAAAAGCTCTCTCAGGTCATGGAGTGGTGTACAGAGACAACCGATTAATTGTGGGACTTCCAAGCTAATAGGCCATTTTTCTCAGAGTTGCAGCTTGGCCAGAGAGTACCAGCAGGTAACAAAGAGGAACTCTGCAATAACAGAAGAGTACCACCAAACAGTTACACAGGAAGGTATGGCAAAGCCAAAAAGCAGCTAGAGTACCCGAGCAGTGCCCTACGAAGAGAGAAGGCCCAAAGCCCCCCATGGTATTAACAACTGGGTAGAGCTAATCTGTGGCATTTTCCTTAGGGCTCACAGGCTTGGCAGAACCACTGTCACGAACAGATTCTGCTACAGGAAAAATCTCTCACCACTTTCTCCATTTCTTCTCTCTCCCACTGAGTTGCTTCTCTCACCATTTCCATCTCCTAGGAGAGACCAAAGTTAGAGCCACTTCACACAGTGCTCTCTCCCCACTTTCAGCACCTGTAACCTCACGAAGATTTCAGAGTCCCGTCCCAGTGCATTCCTGATGAAAGTGCTGGGACCTGCTGATTCCATAAAAAGGAAGTCCACTACCCAAAAGTTGCAGATTCCATGCAGCAAGGGAGACACTAGAGATTTTCAGAAAGTTTTTCCACTCCATTACATTCTCCCAGTTCTAGCAGAACACCCACCTTCTGTAGGATCTCCAGTTCTTCAGGGCTTAAATCCCGATCAATAGAAGAGATACTTTCCAGGCTATTCTTGCGCCCAATACCAGCAGCAAAAGGGTTTGCAATAATTCCTGGGGACATCTACAAAGCAAAAAGGCATTAAGACATAGTCGAAGGCCACAGTATGCCATACAAAAAAATCCATATCCTCAGCTCCCAGATACAGAGTACCAAGATGATCCTAGGCAAGTCAGAACTCTTTCACAACTTGAAACCTTCAGTTGTCACTTGCTCAAGGAACTTGAGGTCTAAGAAAGATTAAATTAAACTGAAATAGGGACAGAAACAGCATAAGGTGACAAGGGATTGGGAACATATTCTAGTGAGGAATGAAAAGGCTTACTTGCTAAGCCTTGCAAAAAGAAAGCTGAGAAGGCACAGGGTTGCTAAGAGTAAGTGTTTCCCTGTGGGGAAAGGCAAACACCAATAAACAGACAGACATTTACTTCAAATTTAACCTTGGCACAAGAAAAAGCAGGCATAGTCTGGAGAAAATTAGCTTGAAAACTATGTTTGTAACCAGTGCAGTGATATTCTGAAACACTTCTGTAATCAGCAGAAGACAGTCAGTCTTTAGAGACTATTGCTTTTATGAACCGGCACCTCCAGTTCATACAGCAGGAGACCATACTCTGGAAAAAAATCTACAGCAAAAAGTTGGAACAATCTAGCAATCTTCTGTGAAGAAGGTGGGATCCTTGCGGTACTGGTCTCTATGAGGGCAATCTGCACGTCAGTCCTCACCTCTATGGCAGCTGCAGCCTTGGGATCAAAGCCATCACACACCAGCACAAGGAGAGCGTCACCCACACTGCGGAGTATCTGTACTGCTTCTGTATGCGTCATTCCCAGCAAACTCTGATGGTTCACCTCCAGGATCCGCATTCCCACCTTCAGACGGCCATCCCGCGCGGCAGCCCCAGAGGAGCTCACCTATAACAAATGGGGGGAATCATATTTAAGATATCACCTAAGGAGGTAAAAGAAGATTAGAGAGCATGGAGACCACCAGGAAGAAGGAACGAGAGAGGACAGCATACAAAGGAAACAGGGAGAAAAGGCTGCAGCTACACATCAGGGAAAGCATCTGGAAGTACTTCTACCTACTTACAGAGAGGGTAAATAGAAAAGGCAGAACGTGTACAGTTTGGTAGAGGAAACAGGTGTGGAAGACATCTCTTATGGGAGATAAAAAGAATCTGTATTTGAAATGTGTTGTCCCAAGGAAAGAAACTGCTTTTGTTTTGTCAGTGAAGCAGGTGAGAAAGCAAGCTCTTGCATCCATCATTTACCTTCACAGAAAGGAAAGTGTAACCATTTTTTGTTGGGAGAGACGCAGAAAATGCAAGGATAGGGATAATCTTTTGTGGATAAAGATAAATAAGGCATAAAGACTTTTCTCTGGCTTTGTGGTAGAGACAGGTGTAACAAATAATGCATGTCTACCATTTTCCATCCTCTTTCAGAGAAATAATGCGTAACTCCTATTTTCTTTCCTCAGCAAGTCACAAGAACTCATACTTGCCTCATGTACACGAGCTGTAACCAGGGGAAGCAACTACAGGCAGGATATTGATACGGCAAATGAAGGCCAGAGTTTGTCTTACAGAGTGCAAGCATCCATGTATGTTTGAGAAGAGAATGAAAGTGGATGCTTTGCCACCAAAACAAAGGCAGTAAAAGCAAAGAGTTTTGTTCACTTTTTTTACCCTTCAGAACAGGCAAAAGAGACCAGAGGACTTGCTGTGGGTGCAAAGTGAAAGGAAAGACAAAAAGACCCCAAACGCATGCAAACACCAGACTCAGCAGAAGTACACAAGCTGGGGAAGTGAGAAAAAAATGGTCACAAGAGAAGCTACTGCCAGGAAACAGACAGAAATACAGGATACAACTCCAAGTGCCTTAGGGAAAGGAGCAGACTCACCAAACAGGCATTACTTTTTCTAATGCGAAACCAACAAGCCTGGAACAGGATGGGATGTACACACAGTCAAGCCAGATTAAATGAAGACCTGGGTATACAGACAGGCCTCGCTGGGAACACCAGAGGCAAACGAGCAGCTTCAGTTCAAAGGCCCGGTCTCAAAGCTGAAGAACCACCATAGCTAAGCTTTACAAAGAGAATTATGACCAGCGCCACACAAGGGCTTCACAGAAAGAGTATGTCCATGTCAGGGATCTCAACCAAAGCCTGCAGATCTATGACAAGAGAATAAGGAGAGCACAAGGGCACACCAAGTTGGTTGCTGGGTGGGGGAGATGCAAGGACATGCATGACTGGTTGTCGAGGTAGGATGGAGGCACAGGTAACGTCAGAGGAAGGAAAGAAAGGATGGACTACTGCACACCACATATTACTGGGATCAGAGAGGCAAAGTCCCCCAAACAAACCAAAGGCACGGGTGTTTGCTGGATTTACGAGAGTTCTTTTGGAGTAAAACCAACAGTTTTCTGTTTAATAGAGTACCTGTAAAAAGAGGAGAAAAAATGCTGCATGGTTTTTGTTTGTTTGTTTAAGGTTTTGGGGGGAGGGAAAGCAGTCATACATGTCTACATGTAATTTCTTCAGGGCTGTAAAAGAAAACTTTAAAGTGTGTGTGAGTGCATGTGCATGCACAAAAGTGGTCACACGCAGCTGAATGGAAGAAGACCAAGTACTCACAATTTCTTCTCCAGGCAGAGCAAGTGCTTTAAGTGTGACAGTAGAACACCCAGAAATAATGGGAGGTGGTGAAGTTAATGTAGAAAAATGTTCTTAATGCCAACTGTCATGTGCATTATTGATATGCCACTGAAGGACACTGAGCTATCCCCATTGAGACAGATCATGAAATTCAAATTGCAGACATAATCTACACTTCTCATGGTATTCAATTTGTAACACTTCCTCTAGAAGGTTTTAGAAAGGAAGAACTAGGTTAAAACTTAAAAAAAAAAAAAAAGGAATTGAACTCAATGGAAATGCAAATTAAGAAAAACTAAGGAGAAGGAAGGTAGTAATCAGACATCCAAAGAGGAGAAAGCAGAAAAAGTGCTACTTTGTCTCTCAGTTACTGGAAATACACAGGCAAAATAAGAAAAGCAGGAAAAACACTCTGGTTAGGAAAGATAAGAGAAATCAAGCTGAAGTAACACAGCTGAAGGGAAAGCAGAAGAGTTCAGCTTTTTGGTTCTTCACACACCAAAACAAGTACCATTAAAAAAAAAAACAACAGAAGGGGAGGGTGATAAAGTAACCCTGCAATAGGGCTAAACTGTAAGCCTTCCAAACCCCTAAATGCTGTAACCCTGAAGGAGATAAAAACGAACCTAATCATTATTGTAGGTTACAATAATCTTAGGTTTTCTTTTACTGCTATTGCAGTTGAATGTGCAACTATTCATTTGATAGAGTGAATTTACTTTTAACATTAGAAGTCAGATAAAGAAGTTATATCCAAGTAATAACAAATGCTAGTATTCTATTTCTTTGAAAGTAGCCAATTATTAGAAAGCGTTAACCAGCAATTATGCAGTGTCCACCATCCAGCAAGGATTATTAAGTCCTCTAGAGTAGAGTTTCTACCCTACCACACCAGCTAAAGAGGGAACCAGTGACACTAATGTGAACATCCAGAGTCCCCACCTGGCCAGCAGCAACACCAACACTTACACCACCTATCATTGTGCTCTGTTGCTAACAAGACAGACGAGGCAATACTTTTTGGTAAGGGCTTGGAGGAGCGTTGTGTTGAAAACAGCACATGCGTTACTTCTTGGGGAAAAGTGACACGACAAATAAGTATGCACACAAGCAGTCATTTACAAAAGAAAGGCAACAAAATTACACACACTGGGCATGGCACAGGAGGAAAGGCCAGCAATTCATAACGCTTTCGATGAAAGGAGGAAACAGCACGCATGTTTGAGTGGGCAGGAAGCCCACAAACACTTGGGGGAAGCAATAGGAAGCGAGGGGAAAAGGAAAGATGTATGGGTTCATGTTACAGAAAAAAAGCAAGAGAAGAAACACAAGGCAAAATAAAGGCGAACACAGGAGACGAAAGAAGAAATTTTGTAGCTGTTGTAGAGGAGGAAATACGCAAGGAAACAGATGCGTCTCCTTCAGTGGATGGAGAATACTCCAGGAGAACAGATGTACCCAGTGAAAAGTGGAGAGAGCATATTGACAAATTCCACAGGGATCACCCTTTTCCCTGCCAGTCCCTGCATGCAACCAAGTTGCAGAGTTAGTGGTCTGGTACCTTAGAAATGAAGATGCCTTCATCAGTTGGATCAAACGGATTTCCAGCATGACCTTTTGCTCCACCCCGGATGCTGATGCCCAGCTTTTCTCCTGGAGCCTTTTCAATGCATATTTCCTGTAAACACAGAAAAGGTCTCCTTTTCTCTGGGTCAAGTTCAAACTGGAATTGTTGAAGAAATGCTCCTAGTAGCTCGCCATATTGTGAATACCCTGAAAAAGACCTGAATTAGACCTTTCACTCATTTGGCACAGTTTATTCCTTTTGATGATGCTCTGCCCTTTTCTGTATTTCTGTCTCCTGTTCAGGTCTGGTCTTCATGAAATCTGGTCACTCTGATCCATGGCAAGAGACCCTCCACAGGCCTCAGCTGGATATGTACTTACAAGAGACTGGATTCTTCCACAAGAGAAGGCAATTTCAGCCAGACGCTTGTATCCTAGCCCCAGATTTTCAGCTAGGTAAGAAACTGCCTTCAAAAATGATCCTTCTATGAGGAGTGTGATTCCCCTCAGTTCTACTCAGAACTTACCTGCATACCAGGTGGTGGTGGATCTCGCCTTACTAACATAGTCAGCTCCTGGGTGTTGGAGAGCAGGGCATTCACCGCTTCCTGGTGGGTAGCATGGCGCAGGTCAATACTATTCACCTCCAGGATCCTGTCCCCTACACGGAGCCCGCTGCGAGATGCCAGTCCACGGGGAATAACCTACAAAGAATCATTAAAATTACAACTAGAGAAAGAAATTCCATCTCTCCTTGGAGAGATGCTAATTGTGTCCCTAAGCTATCTTCCAATGTCCTCCGAGGCCTGTTTTGACTTCTCTTTCTGCAACCAGAGTTCCCCAAGAGGTTACATATCTGTGAACACTGGCAAAGAATGAAGTAACATTCGCTTTAAAGTGTTATTCAACATGTTCTTATATTCTCATATTACCATTTTCATCGGAACCAATCCTGTGTCAGCTTTTCCATTATTTTGCCTGTGACTGTAACCAGAAGACAGCTTTCTCACAAGAACTCTGAAGGAACTCAAATGTTAAACTGCAGGGCTGTTGTCGGAGGTGTATCATCTGCCATTACAAATGGTCGCTGTACCAGGACTGACCGTGTCAGTACAACTTCAGTCCTCAACTACTGCTCTAGAGGGGATCTTGAGAGCTACAGAGCTACTAACCAAGAAACCTAACTTCTGTTCATGGTAAAACAACAGAGTCAAGAAAGAAAGAATGAGAACATCGGAGCGTGTGGATAAGCAGGATCTGTTGGGACAGAGTTAATTTGTCTTTG